CCCAATTATTGTTGATTTTGTGACAACCTGTATGTTTTTTACTACTTAAAACTGACTACATACTGCTAAGTTGATGGTACAAATAGTTGATGTTGCGGCTGAGTACGTGGGCGCGAAAAGAATGCGGCGATATTTGAGGCGATACTGGCGATGGGATTCTCCGGAATGATGCTGCTTGTCGCGCGTCGATGTCTGTACGGTGGACCAGGGATTTTTATTGGAGCCAAAAGAAAGGTTCTGCTGTGACCTTTCTAAGGACGCCCCAGATACAATGTTACAAATTATAGCTTATGAGGGTGAAGTTGCCTCGATTTGGACTTTCGTGGTTCGAACATACTTTCACTGCAGTAGGGCCACGCCTCTACTATTGCACGGATGGGCAGGCTTGTCTGGGGTAGTACCACGGCTTCACAGAAAACCAGTGTAGAGTGGAAGTTATTACACTTTCGAGTTTCATCTGGTGAGTGAGGTAACCAGGGCCCACTTTTTTAAAGGTGTCAACGCATTCTCAAGATCATGAAGTGCTGTAGATGTCAATGGACAGTGGTATCCACTTAACATGAATGAATAATAATACGACGAAAAAAAAATTAAGATTATTTATATATAGTTTAACCCGGAATATTTTTGTCACTTCTTCAAAGAGTTTAGAAAAGATTGCCAAAAAAAATTCTAATTTTTCATTGTTTTATTACCAATCTAAAGCATTGAAATATGAAAAACGTTAATAAATCAATCAAGATTTTTTTTATTTTTTGATCATTCTGTTCCTGTAAAAAAAATTACTTGAATTGTTAAAATAATTATTATAAATAAATACATTGTTTATAAGATTTTCAATTTTTTTCTTTTAGGAATATGATGCTTAATGAAAATATGACATTTAAGAAAAAAATTTTACTGCTAAAAACGCTTTTTCTAAATTACAATTTTTTGTTGCTTAGTGTTAACATTATGGAACCATTTTATGGTGGTTATGGTGGACCATTTCAGGTGGACCGCTTGCTCGCTTGACAACTATCACATAAATTATCTGGAAAATATTGAGATGACTTGCCTAGACTGGGGTGAGGGGAGAAAAGGCTTACGAGAACCCTTCGGGTATACCTGGCTTCTCCGGTGATGAAGTCGTTTTAGACACCGGCTTGCACAACTTTAGCTATCCGTTCAAAGTAAAGTATACCTCTCACTATTTTGTGTGGGTACTAAAAAAAAGGTAATAGTGATATTAACAGATCTGCCACGTACGTATTCAGCTACAAAATATGTACAAGATTACGATTTTGTTGTCCATTACGTTTTCCATTAAAACATGGAAATCGTCATTAATTACCATTGTAAGTATTATTTAAAAATTGAGATCTTTTTCAAATATTGGTAATGAAATATATTTATGGAGGTACTTTTGTACTAAAAAGATGTGTTTTTCAGATCATATTTCTTGTAACATCTGCGCTGCCTATTTTAATAATGGCAACCGCCGAAGCAGTTCCGGCTTGGAACATCGCCAGCCTAGTTGGATTTAATTGCATTAAAATATTTATGCTCGTACTCCATTTTCACTAAACGAAATTATTTTATCTTAACTGCTCTCGTGCAGCTCCGTTATTTGGATTTTATCAGAATGCAAACATCTCTTTACCGCATTAATTATTTTAAGGGGAAATCTGTGGAGGAGTCGTGTGCTAATTTATTTTTGAAATACTTCCTTCTCTCACATTTACTCATTTCTATACTCTGGACTTTTGTTAGCCTGGACTAACTAAGACATACAGACGTCCAATACCTCACTCTGTCCCTTGACCATGAACATTGAAAAGGGTTAGAGACGACGGAAAATAGAAGTTTAAAAATAAATATATAAATATGGTTTAATTTAATAATGCGTAATACAAGAAATTGTCATATATTACAACGGTTTACGACCTACTTAATTAGCTTGTTCTATAACTGTAACTACTCAAATACTATTTTTAACCTAATTTTACATTTTTTTTAAGTTAGGGGAAACGGAAAGGTCTATATTAAACAAAAGATCGTATTCTTCATCATAATTTAATATAGATCAGACAAAAAAAGATATAATAAAATTAACTTTTTTAAAATAACTTTATTTATTAAATAAACTTAAAAAAGGCGCCAAAAGTGGGATAATCTTATTTATAGGTCTGTCAGAATCGGATCTTTTATGCAGTTTGTCAAAGTTCTAGTGCGGTACATATAAATATAAGTAGATCTCGACTAGCAAAACTGAAATTAAAAAGGTCTTTAAATTGTCAAATCGAAAAATCATACGATAAAATTTTAAAACATAAAACTGTGCATTGCATGTCTAAAAGCTGCATTTGTCCTAGAATAACAAAAAAAAAAGATTAAGGACCCCAATGCCTTAAAGCGGCATTTACGATGGAAAGGAGTAGATCATTGGTATAAGTTATTACTATGGAAAAATACCTATTAAAAAAAACTTATCGCCAGTTACTTCAGAAACTTGGTACATTATGACAACTCCCGCAAAACATGGAGACAACGTTAAACACAACATTACACGATTCTAAAACAACCGGTCCGTCCGCGTCTTTCCTTCTCGCTGGATTTTAGTAAGTGATCCTTATGAAGTGACAGTTAGCCAAATATTAAGGAGCAAAACTTGGGACAATTTTTTTTAAGGATGACAAAATTTTACGTTATCTTATAATTGTTTGACACTGAATCACTTTATTTGTTTAATATACACAAGCTACTACCGCACATTCTGGCAAAATTATCGCTTCCAATTTAAGAAGATCATCAGTAGCCCTAAAACAGAGATACTGTGTGTGAGTGGTTGGGCCAAGAACCTGTCTGCTATTACACGAATGGACGCAATAGAAGATTCTCTTCTTTTGACAATAATCTTAGACTTTGTCTTTATTTACTGCAATTGCTTTTAAACCTGACCGAGATTTTATTATTAATTTGCTTGATATACTTGTAATAAAGGACTAGATCTGAGGCATCACTACATGGTATAAAACAAAGTTGATCCGCTATCGGTATGTCCACTATATATGCTTAGATCTTTAAGAGTACTCAACGAATCTAGATGCGTTTTTTTACTAGATAGAGTAATTCAAGAGGAAGCTTTATATGTTGCACCCGTGTGAAGCCGGGGCGGGTCGCTAGTTATGAAATAAATTGAACAACGCTGAGTTTCATGCTTATTGAACACAATTTTGTGTGTACAGCTTATTTTACTTGACCTCGATTTTCTGTGAAGTCATGATACATCTTCAGACAGGAAGAACATAAGGTAAAAAGGCGTTCGAAAAAAGATGTACGACTTTCATTTCTTTAATTGTCATTTTTTTATTCAACACACATACAAAACTCGTATCCTCTTGAAGAATTGACGGTAAAAATTAAATTTTATCTGGGCAAATGAACATAGCTTAACTAAATTTTTCACTTATCCCGAAATATAACAGGGTTTATGTGATTCATTATATATAAAATAAAATAATTCATTATTATATTTTCCTGGAAGATTTATAAATATTGTTACGAACTGGGGGTTCGGGTTTTTGAAACGCCGGTTACCGCCGAAATGCCGGAACAGTCATCGCAAGTTGTTGACATGTAAGACATCAACAACCCCTGATCGTAATTCTATAGAGCCCGGTTAATATGAGTATTAATATCACCCGGTTTTATGAGTGTATGTCTGAATGAATAAGAAATAGCGGTTTCGTAATTTTAATTTAAAGAAATAAATTAATATATTTTATCTGATTATGTTACGTAACACACATCAGCCCAACAAGTAACTGAAACGTAGAAAGGAAAATAATAAAATTGTTGTTTCTAGATTTATCGCGATCGTTGTACAGAAACTATAGAATTGTTTATCAAAACAATGACTGTTTATCGTTAACCTTGAGCCTTCTTCGAAACATGTATTTAATTTTATTAGAGTTGAGTAATGCGATCTCAGTTGCTATTGAGATGAATAAAATAGAAGTACTACTTTAGACATACTTGTCCAGAAACAACCGTTCTTATGGTCATTCCAACAAGAAAGCAACATTGGTAGAGCAAGTCATCTCTTGATGAGATAAGCATGCTCCGCGTTACGCAACATTACTGTTCTTGTACAATATAAGGCAATTTTAAAGAGTAAGTCATGCAGAACTGTAAGTATGTATAGAACATAGAAATGTTTCTTCTTCTTAATTTACCTTTTCAGATTTATACAATGTGTTTATAGGTTAAGCCCGTATGTTTCAACACTGAAATGATACATAATACTAATTCATGTATGATTAACAAGACTCAAATTTTCTGAAAATTATATCTGCAACGGATGAAGATACTATAGAAGCCTGCTACGTATATGTTTATACGAGTAAGATTATAAAAAAGAGGTCAATAGCTCGACTTTGATCATAGGCTACCGAGTACAGCTGGTCAAGTATTTTAATTTCGATTAAGACTTAACGGTATAAAATTGATAGTTTTATTTAATTAAAACTATGGTAGTATTATTGAATTTTAAGTACCTGCTATGGGATAGACCCTAGAAGATTTAAATGTGGTAAATTATTAGAAATACGGGAATGTAAATTTTGCTTTAGCATAATTATTTTTTGTATTCTAAATCACTAGCGATTTAGAAAAGGTGACTTCGTAAGTCATTTCCAACATATAATATGATAAAATTGCAAACTTCAATATAATAATAATGACAAAAATTTTAGGTGGAAATAAATTAAAAGAAGGAAATAAATACTAATATATAACGAATAGATAATAATTATCATCACTTGAGTTTACAGAATAAAACTTTTGAATTATCACGTCTATAGAATTCATTATTCTTTAAAGAAATTTAAATTGAAAACTTGTTGCCATAGATAACCGCGACCACTTTCCCGCCATTTACGGCCCAGTGCTAAACGTCCAGTTTGCATATCACGCGATTAACCCGCAAATCGTCTGGCCGCGTAACCTCCTCCATTTGCATGTATTGCAAGAAACACGCTGTAGGTATTAAGGATATACAGAAAACAAACATTTTCAAAGTTAGTTCCTGCGCAGCGGAGCCGCTTGCCTCCTCCTTTTCAAGTGCCGTGAGTGAAACTTTTGAAGTATGGGATATAAGTAAGATAAATTATTTTAATTATTAGATATTACACGACAATTACATAAGATATAAATTATATAAGGATTTAACGGTAATGCGTGAAAATTAAACAAAAACAGTATTTTATCTAAATACATGTACTCAGTGCGCTCTCTCATAAAGCACTTTTCGAATTTTCTATGCATTGTGGATGATGCTAATAGTTAACTAATGGTGGTCAATTGACAACGTAGTGTAGTGAATTTTATCAAAATGTATCGAAAGCACTATTAAGTCTTTATTGTTCTTAATGACATCGGTAAATTTTTTGCGATATAAGGGAAACGGTGACATTAAATATTTGCCTTGAATTGCTCAATTGCTAAGGCCAAACATGTTATGTCTTATAAATTTGTTCTGGGTACTTCTTTACATCAAACTTCGATATGTTGGTATCAAAAATACGGGTCATGTTCTTCTTGAAAGAATGTGTAGTGGCTTAATGTTGAATAATTTCACATGATCTATCGGAGTAAAAACGAAAACAATGAACAGTAAAAAACTATTAAGAATTAAACACACTTTCAGATTGATAATTTTGCTCGGACTTCTACTTGGTGTTTTATACTGCATTCATATACTGGTCCAGGACTACCAGGCGGTCACAGCTCCGAGGCTTTTACGTCTTCTCTTCAAGAGAGATATTAACACACATAACTATAGCGTAAGGTTTTTTTTTTATTTGAATTCGTTATTATTCGTTTTAATTCGTCTATTATTAATTTACATTGCGAAAATATTAAGTAAGATATGGATCTGCATAAGCTTTTACTTTTATGGTTCTGTTTAATATAGGGTTATGAATTCACATACATCACAAATAAACGATTTGATGTTACGTAAACATGTGAAAAACTTTACCTAGCAAATTGTGTTGCATATCGTGTTTTGAGCTGGAACTGCCCACAGAGCAAAAATATTTGTTGTTGATAGATCTGTGCATGTTAATTTAACAAAACTCCTGGCAAAGCATGAATCTTCTCTTAGCGCAGAAGTCTTTTAAAAAATCACTAAATCCAAATGACCTATATATATTCATGTATGTATAAAAACCGGTTATTAGGTTAACACTACATAATAAAATTTAAAATCTACTCTCAAAGTGATGCACATGTAAAACATGTAAACAAAGTGATATACATGTATATAATATACATATGATTTTATATATAATGTGTCATATTTGGTATAAATATTGCAAACCGTGCCAAGTTGGACTGTTAGTGGACGAGTAACATTTCAGTATACAATATATGCCAAGTATATCTAAAAAAATGTTACAGTACAGGCTTTTCTTCGTTAGAAACAATACCTTGCTCGAACTATGGCAAAAGTAATGAGTTATTAAATATATGTATTCACTTCTTAGCGTTCAAATGTTCTCCATAATTAACTATTTCATTAATTCAGATAGTAGGATTTTTGCTTCATAGACCAGCCTTGTTGTTAAGTCAACAAACTCTCAAAAATTCTTTACAGAGACCTAGCGTAAGGTGGAGGAAAATTTTAATGTATGATAGAATACAATGCACCCGCTTTCTCTATTGTACACTTGGAGCGCAGAAACCAGACGAGGAAATACGAAGAGGTTTAATATTAATGCTCAGGTGATTATTTTATATCATACTAAAATTTTCATACTTGCCATGTTATTCAAAATGTTTTACATTCACTAGTTTATTAAACATTTTAATAAAATTAAGTTAACGGTAGTATTATGGTTTATTTTTAGGGTTACGTATGCAAAGGGTAGAACAGGACCTATTACTAAGACTTTTTGTCTGTCTGTGCCTGTCAGGCTATACTATATCTGGAATATTAATAGTTAGAGGGATGAAATTTTCACAGATAATGTATTTCTGTTGCCGCCATAACAACAAATACTGAAAATAAGAATAAAAAATATATAAGTGGGTGCTCTACAACATTAATATGTACTGGACTATTTATTTAACATATAATTATACAGTTTAGTTTGAGTCGGATTGAAGTTAATAAATTATCAGTTCGTGATTCGGAATTCAAAAAAGTTATTAAAAAAGACAGTTATTATTGCTGCCACTGTTTACAAATATATTAAGATTGTGATACCAACAGTTCCTTAAATATAGCTTGATTAAAATGACAGGCGTCAAAAAAGTAATTTCTAGTATCGGCTATACTAACAGGGCGATTCTGATTCTGATGAAGGTACTGTCGTATGTTGAACACCGTTAAATAAATAAATTTTATTAATAATGACTGTTCTGTTTTTAGGGTTCCGTGCCCAAAGGGTAAAAAAGTACCCTATTACTAAGACTCCGCTGTCTGTCGGTCCGTCTGTCGCCAGGCTGTGCACCAGTTGACATTTGCACAGTCGAAGTATTTCTGTTGCCACTATAACAAAAAAGATAATAAAATAAAATTTAAATGGGGCTCCCATACCACAGACATGATTTTTTTGCAGTTTTTATAAATATATGTTCGGAACCCTTCGTGCGTGAGTCCGATTCGCACTTGACCGGTTTTTCTTAATAATATTGACCCAATTTTAATCGATTTTAAAATAGCCTGTATAATTGTCTAAATAGCCTGTGTCATTGTCTAAATCGATTTAATCAATACTTGTGCTGAGAACTGTCAGTGATAGTTAGTTATATTGTACGAATTTATAGCTTTGTAAACACAAGTACCATTGTAGCTACCCTTGTAATATTTATGATTACGCTAATTTATCCATTTTAATGTCATTTATTTTGATAGAGTAGTGACCTCGATGTATACAAATTCTTACTTTTAAGGTTCGTATGAACAGAATGCAATAACATGAGCCCACGCTTTTTGTGGACGAAAAATGAAAGTTCCCGTTTCATGCTTGTAACAAAGTTGCAAATCAAATTTAATTTACCGCGCGTTATTCTTATATGATGAAATTGCTTTGACTTTTTCTACATTTAGGTTTCTATGATTATAATAGTGAGGGATTAGTTTTTGTTTATTTCATACACCATTTTATTGACTCTATTTACTGTCTACAAATTTTTATACTCTTGTTAATGAACTCCAAAGTTTTTATCTCTTTTATAATGATTTTCAACTTGTTTCCTCTTCTTAAAAATAATTGCGAGCCATTTAATTTAGTTTCATTTCACTTAACATGTAGTTTACAAGTATTTTTATTTCGTGTGAATAATTTTTATTTTCGGAAATTTCAAGTTACTTACAGCGTCACTGCAGGAAGTTCAGTTTTGGGACGCTGATAGCGAATCTAATTTGAAACGTGTAAACATATACGTCAATTAACATTTGCAGAAACCCTTGTTGGAAACATACTATAAATTTACCGCGAATAAAATTATTATTAGGTAGGTATTTTGTCCCACCCGACAATTCTAAAATACTTGCAAAGTAAGTCTATTCGGCTATTTACACTATTTATTGGCCTGCTTGGTGCCTTTTATTATATTTTGACGAATACCTAAAATGTACAATATCCATAGTACCGAATAATACTATTCGGGCAAATACTATAATAAGGTGTTTTCATGTGCAAAATTAATTGGTAAAATGGAAATATTAATTTGTTTTATAATAATATATTTTTTCGTATAGTCCATAAAATGTGTATACTCTCGATTTATCGTAATTTAAAATTTACATGTGAAACATGATAATGCTGAAACACATTTTTTTTTAATTTTATGCAATAGTTTACTTTTAGTATAGGATGATTTTCGTGTTCCTCGAAGTATGTCCGTTACGCAATTTTACTTTTAAGCTAATAAAATGTACGATAATCCGAGCTTTCGTATTTACTGTGTTTACAAATTAAATTGGTCAACAATACACAATCACAATACGTCGAAGGATTGAAATTAATTGTTTTAAAATTGCCTATGTATGGGATTTTTTAATGTCGTTATTATTTAAATTTTCATATTGATACAATCCTAAAGTGAATATTTATGTAAATGTTTCAGTATGGAACCAAATACGGAAGACAGAACATCTTTGAAGATTTTCAAAGAAGCATATAAATTGGGCCAGCACTTTAATGAAGAAGCGACCTGCAGGGTGGAGTATCCAATGTGCCCTTTTAACAGTCATCTGTTGATTGATCTCATAAGATATTTGTTGCGTCACCAGAACGCTACTAAGTAATTTTAGTGAAAATTAATAGTGAAGTCATTCAGAATATTGTGTCATTTTATTATATTGTGTTATTTTAAGGAAGATAAGTAGAGAGTATGTCTGTTTTTAAAGACACATACGGACAATCCGATACCGATGATTGTTTCGAATACATATTATGTAATACATTTTACTTCTTCATGTATAATTGAACATTTTATTGATTAACCATCTTTTGGTAAAAACTAAATTGTCTACAAAACTACAATATCTATTTTGGTTAACAATATGAATATGAGTGTTTAAATACACAAATTCGCAAAGAAGACAGTGTCGTCAAAAGAGGTATTTTAAATACTCCATACCATATTAGGTGATGTAATTATTGATACTATCATATTAAAAAAAATGTGTTTTTGATTGCATATTATTTATAAACAAAATGCTAAATCGGACGTTAAACGCAAAACGTTTTATTGATTGGTTGGTTGGGTAGAAAATTTAAAAAATAAGTAAAGAGGATACGTACTCTGCAATTCAAGCTTTCACAAGAAACGTCCACACCGGCATTGAGCTATACCCACGAAAGATCCCAGCGGGTGATGACCATCGCTGGACTCTGCCAGACGATGTTAGAGACTTGATACACCGCAAGAATTCGGTCACCCGCGCCTGTGATACATATCCAACCGAATCGAATCGCAAGGAGCTATGTAAATTACAGAATGAGGTGAAAGGACGCAAACCCTTGGATAAAGTACGTTGAGATTTCAGCATTTCGTTAGCCAAACCTTGTGACCCACTCCAGCTTTTTTAAGAGTCCTAAATCATTAAACGTATTTCCCACAAAAGCCACCGCTCCCTTGCTCGATAGAAGTGCCAGCTATGTTGGACCAAGAGAAGGCAGAAGGCTTAGCTGCAACCTTGAATCTCAGTCTTCTTTCGGTCAACTCCGACCACTTCCGCAAGGTGGACCGCGAGGTTGAAAGGATAATTCAGATAATAGTTATTATCTACCACGCGGCAATGACTGAAGATTTCATTCCAACCGAATAGAAGGAAGCTCAGGTTATAGGGCTCCTCAAGCCCTCGAAACCCGCCACTCAACCAATTTCTTACCGCCCAATAGGGCTTTTCAAAACTTTTGAAAAGATGTACAGTACGAACAGTTTGGAATGGAAAATATCATTCGAATATGACGGTCAATTTCCCTGAAATAAAAATTGTTGTAATAGCTCGGTCGGTAATCGGGCGGCCCCAAAAGAGACGGCAGTGGCATTTTACACACTTATTTTTTAATTTTTTTTTTCAATTCCAGATCATTGCTTTATTTATTTTTTATATTTTTTCGATCCAGATGATTTCGTTATTTTTTCTTATGTGAAAAGTCGCCAAACGTGCAGACGGTTCACCTGATGGTAAGTGAATACCGCTGCTCATGGACAGAGGCGTTGACAACCTTTTGAAAATTGCGCTCCGGCTACCTCACTCACCAGACGAAACGCGAAAGCATTTGTAATACTTTCACTTTATGCTGGTCTTCTGTGAGGTCGTGGTACTTACCCGGACGGGCCTGCCCATTCGTGCAATAGCCGAGGCTGCTGCGTGGCGCTACCACCGTAAAATGGATCTGATTTTGTCATACGCTATTGCTATATGAAAATATCAGTTTTGGAATAATCTCTCTGAGTAACATTACCGAAAAGTGGGCTTTCACAATAAAAATTCAAATAACTTTATTCAATATAGAAGTATTCAACTTCCTCATTTGATTTTAAAAACACTGCCACCGGTGCGGAAAAGAAAAGCTACCGACCTGAGAAGAACCGGCGAAAGAAACTTAGCGGGACATTTTTTTACGCCAATAACAAAGAAACATAAAAAAGGAACTGTAGCAAAATTTTACTGAAGTGATTTGGAAATATAGATGTTGGTCGGGATTATAACAGATTATACACTAACATTTTAATAACGATGATTAACCGCAATCAATAGGACCGCTTATTTTATTGGAGACTTTTTGTAACCAATGCATTAATGATCTCTATTAACATGACCAGTATAAATGAGCACTGCACTTTTAGACACAAAACAGCCGTTTCTTCAATGTAATTTTATGGTTACAAATCTATTACTTAAAAGCTAAATGTTCTATCAGTTATTAATTGAATATTCACAGAAAAAAGTTTATATTTTACATATTTTGCCAGTTTTGTACAGACATTCTCGTCTGTAGGTTACTTCAAATAATCAGGAGGGGTCACTCCGTGTGCGGTGAGATTGATTACTTGCATTTATGATTGCATGGTTCATTTAGTTGACGTCGGTTCATACACGATAGAAACTGCGTAGTATTGCGATTAGCATGTAGGCACCAATTTTCATTTCTCCGGGATCTTCTGTAAAATAGCGGACCGGGCAGACGTTGTCTTGTACATATGACTTAAATTCGACAATAACGAAAAAAAAAAATATTGAAGTACCAACTACATAACGAGCAATTTTATTTTATTATTATATGCCTTATTGTACACAGCAAAGAATTTTATACCATTAGTATAAAATAAATCTTAAAAGCTAGGTACAAAAAGGCGGTCTTATCGCTAAACAGCGATCTCTTCCAGACCACCTTAGGACGAGAAAAAATAAACTAATGAATAGTGGGTGGTGGTGTGCTCAATAAACTTACGTAATAGATATATAATATACATACATAAACATATATATATATATATACATATATATATATATATATATATATATATATATATCGGACATATTGCATTGGAAGTGATCTATACAAAAGCAGCTCCTCGCAAAGCCCATTAACATATCATTAATTCATCTCTTGATTATCTCTTGATAAATATTAAATCTGAGAAACTAGTGAAATGAGTACAATCTGATTTTAGGTGAATATTTTATATCTTTATTCAGTATCTACAACTATTTTTACATCGAATTATATAAATAATTGTTTTTAGTTAAAGTGAACGGCACATTGCAAAATTCGGTATTGCGATATGCTGTTCCCCGTGTCCCGTGGGTGTCGTAAGAGGCAACTAAGGGACAAGCCACAAACATCAGGTGGCCTCCGATAGATGTCGGGATAACCATCTCGACTCTCCAGACCGTAAATACCCAGGCCAATAATGGGCAGCAGCGTTAAAGGTGCGAGGTGTCTGGAGGAACTGCGGTTGCCAACCCGCTTACCAGGCCTGGCAACTATGGCAAAACTCTCATGATGAAAGGTTCTCGAGTGGCAGCCTCGTACTGGCTATCGCAGTGTAGGACGACCCCCCACTAGGTTGAGTGACGACCTGTGCAAGTGTACGAGAAGTCAATGGATGCAGGAGGCTCAGGATCGTGCCCTCTGTGAGGGAGGCCTATGGTCAGCAGTGGACTCAAACAGGCTGAAATGATTATGGTGATGATGATGTGCCATTCTCACTACTCTCCGTGACTGTAACGTGATGAGTGGAGGAACCATAGACAAGGTCCACCGCTGCGGGAGCTTGGCTCCTATGCCTACTTAGAAGCGGGCTCATTCAGTTAACTGTATTAAAGAGTATTTTCAATATTAATAATTTCATGTATTGCGTATCAAATTATGGTATTCGCATGTTGTTCATCATGCGTATTACCTAATTTTTTGTTCTCACTATTCTACGATCCGATGATGCAGAATATTAGAAGATGCTAAGGTTAGCAGCCCCTTCTCGGTAAGCAATTCCCCTCTCGCACCTTAACTTCCCCGAGGTTGCTGACCAGAGGCTATAGGAGCCAGACTGGTGCAGGCACCAGCCTGGCTCGTCTCTGGATTGATGCTGGCACCGGTATCTATAACAAATGCTGACAGATAATAATTGGCTGTATCGAGTACGGATTAAATGTCGATAAAGAAACATGCCATTTTATACTCCTACTTATGTGTGCACTACGATGTGTTACTTTTATTTTAATATAAATAAATATTTACTTACAGGTATTTATATGCTACTCTTGATAATAACAGATATTAGGTCGTCGTCTGATTTTTAGGGTTCCGTAAACAAAGGGTAAAACCGGTTAATAAGTGACAGGCCGCTCAGCCCCCAACAGACCTGGTCTGTGGCTAAACCGCTCACCGCGTCTCGGCCGCAGAGAGCAGCCAATCCTCTCCCCATTGGCCCCACTTCTGCTGCATCAGTCTCGCTGAGTCACCGAGTATAAAGAGAGTGGCGAACCGCAATACCGAAAATTCTTTTCCTCCGCGACTCCTCAATTGCAGGGACAAGGAGAAAGGCTGCACCTCTACTACCCTCAACCTGCTCCGCTCCCTCCTAGCTCGCAACCAAAATGGACTCAATGAGCTCAATTGGAGCGGCCCTCTTGAGTCGGCCTTATACCACAGTGTTGTTTCCTCTTGGCTTCACTGTGGGTGACCACCATCCACGGCTACTAATCCCCTCCGCGACGACAATGCGGTCGCCTGGTCAGAAGGGGACACCGATGAGCCTGCCAATACATGCAACAGCAAATACTGCTGCGTAGCCCTGCTACAGTTACAGTAATTAAATAACTAATATCTCATATTATACAGATAGAATTGACCTTACATCCCAACTAAAATTGATACGTCTCAACATTTAGATTTCGTAACTCAGACTAAGTTAGCTAACGACTACGGCAGGCAGCCGTAGCGGTGAATGTGAAAAGTTTAAAATTACTCCCAACACTTTTATTGCTTCACATTTCATGACACCATCTGTCGTCTGTTACTACTGAAGTCGATAAGAACTATTGGAGTAACATGATTAAGATACATAAGCGAAATTGTGTAATTGCATTATACATTGTATAATAAAAATTGCTTTTTTATTAATTATTATAAAATAACGTCATTGTCCACCGGCTGAACTTCGATGGGATTCATGTGGAATATTTCTGAAACGTAATTTTGAAACAACCTTCTCTTATTACATAATAGTTGACTGGGTTTTGTTCATATTTTATGTCATTTTAATTTAATTTTTGGAACGAAATTC